TGATTAGTCTTTTATAATGAAACTGACAGTCCGGTTAGTACAGAAGAATTGCAATTTTATATCACAGCTAACACTTTTTATATTGGTAATATATATCTGCCTCATATTCTAATGTTCATAGGAACAGCATTAAGGACTTGGATTACAATATCATACAACTAAACAAGGCTTATAAAGCCATCGAACAATCACGATCAATACATCTATGCATCTAACATTTTTGACCAGGTTATCGTCATAATATTTAGCTAAACACACTTATTATGAAGAAAGAAAAGCAATATGGCCTATATTTGTATTTCCACAGAGCACACAACAACACTGGGAGAAGCCTTGAATTAGTGCCAGGCCTAGAGGCAATGATGGTTATCCGAGTGTGAGATGCTCCACATCCTGTGTTCTAGATATTAACTGGACTGGTTTCTTCTCTTCCTGTTCATCGTAAGAGTTTGACCTAAACTTAGAGCTTGCCTCTTCAGTATCAGAACATCCTGGTCTTTCAGTCAAAAATTGTTCCCAGAACACATCATTCACCCGATTCTGGCCAGTTGCTGGCACTTGCTTCTCCTTATGACCCTTGTGTGGTGAAGATAAGGTGGGATCATTATCAGAATGAGTTCTGATATCTGGGTGAATATTAAACCTTGGTTCAGTTCCGATTTCCTGACCTGAGGGAGCCATTCTATCAGAGTTTTTACTTTTGTCAGGTTCCAAAGAAGAAGATGCTAGAGTAAGATTTAGTTGGCAGGAGATAAGACCATCGCCTTCATCATATGCACTGAAACATCGCTGCAAGGAATGAAGTTTTGGGCTTTCGGGTCCTGCTTTACACGACAAAGATGAATCTGATAGGTCTAACTCTTCAGGGAAGCATAAAACACCCTCAGTCCTTGAGTGCACATCTTTGGACCATCCGTCCATCCTCCCTTCAGGACTATCCCCATCTTCATTGGAGCTTTGTGTGCTGTGTGAAAGCAAGTTGATGTCCGAAACAGCAGGTGACAACTCCAGCCTGAGCTTATTGCAAAAGTCTTGCTGAAATACGTTACCGAACTCAGGCCTAGAGCAGCTGTGATTATCAACAAAAATATTTTCCTGAATTGTCTGGGGGAAGTCATCAACCTGAGGGAGTCGCCTCCTCTTATTATCTGATGAAAGATCCATTGATTCAAGCTTCTGAGCAAGGCGTTCAACAAACTCGGGATTCTGAACTGCTTTGTCCAGGAAGGTCAGCAATCTCTCCTGCCGCAGCTCCATGCTACCTACACGTTGTTTTAGGCTTTCCAACTGGAGCTTTGCAGTAGACTGCTGTTGTTCAAATCCCAAAATATCTCCTTCAAGAGTAGTCTTTTCAAGTGACAACTTCTCAATTTCTTCCTCAAATGCTGCTCTTTCCGGATCAACAGAACCTTGAGGTTGACTGTGGCTGTGTATAGGCTTTCTGCGATGGATATTCTTTAGAAGATGTTTTTTACCTTTCACAAATTCTTCATTAGAAAATTCCCATTTTTCCGGATCAATTTTCCTAAATCCCTACAAATAAACACAGCTAGGCCATTAATACAATTCCAGCATCTGAGAATCAAAGGGAAATTAGTTTTAACCCAAAAAACAATTCATTCGGTTAAACAACAGATTTACTTCATATTCTCTCTCTTTTTATTTTTTTGTTCAAAGGTTTTACAAAATGATCCAAAGGGGAGGCCTATGAAAATGTCAATAGCATATAGAGAACTACTGGAAGGCGCGCATAACAATAAAGAGGGGAATGCGTGGGTACATATTTATGTCCAAAATTCTCAGTAATCTTTACACCTTGAGAAAAGTAGTTGTTTAAGCAAAGAAGACCGTACCATTTAAAGAGCAATACATATCTCACTGAAACAGTGCACATACAAAAGTATGAAGCATATTAATTAAGTGCACAGACCGTTCAAACAAATGATCCCCAAATATGCAATCGACAAGTTATGCTTCATTAGAAGTATAGGTATAATAACAGCCAGGTTTCTAGCTGCTCAATCTTCATCCCTTTCTTATCTCTTAATTCGCTAAACAAGCCTAGATGGCTGCACTTTACAATGCCTACATATAGTAGAAACTAAATAGGTACCATAGGAACACAATATAACTTCCGAGTATAAATGACATTATAATTATCAGATCTATTAACATAATCAGCACATTGAGTTATCACTTCTTGATAAATAAATATAATTTACATACAACTCCTCGCGTAAATACCTATTAGTAAACAACAACAAAGCCTATTCCCTATACACTTCTGGTGGCTATATGAATTCCTTTTTCTTTGCTCCACTCAGTTCATTGTTATTACATCTACTAAAGGTAACCATATACTTTAACCACCAAAATAGACCATGTAAGTTTTGGTCTATCCCTAAATAAGTCAATATGTTCTAAGATTGCATCAGTTACATGAACGGAAGCAAGAAATGTCCCCACCATATTGGTCATCTTTCACCTGATTATGCCCCTCGACACACCATTATTACATATTTACTTGCAAGAAACTAAAAATTGAATTTCACAGAAAGGATCAGCAATTGAACACAAGTGCATATAAAAACACAACCAGGAAATTAATAAGGCAATTCGACACCTGGCTTTTACCTGTTTACCATAATTCCTTCACAGAGAAGATAAAGATGATTGAAAATGTAAGACTAAGTGGTCAGAAATTAAATTTGCGTGTAGATGAAATGGTACTTGTTCATTGCAGTCACAGATAAGTTTCAGTTGTCTAATTTTCTTCATTTCATCTTGTGGTCCATCATTCTTTCATAGCTTCTAGTGTTTCGTCATGGATTCCTTTGAGCGAGAAATGATAGCCTATCTAGAATTTTGCGTTCCTTGGTGGGTGGGGGAAGGGAACAATGGTTCAAGTTGTGTGAACTCTTGCTTTAAGACCCAAATCATTTCTTAAGAAACTTCTTAGCATAAATCAGACTGCAATTAACTGGGACCAATGGCGTTTATTGCTCTGGTCCTGAAAATTCCTTCTTCTATTGTCCCATAGCATGTTTTGAATTAGGAGTAGAGGCCTGGAGCATTTGGACGGTAAAAATCTAAAAGTATCATGGGGGTGCAAGAACTTTAAATAGGCATAACTTTTGATCTGGAAGCGTATATGCGGGCTCTTTTGAACCTGACACTGGTGATAATAGGCTCTGCCCAATTGGATCTGACTTTCGAGGCCTTAGTTAGCTTTTCGATGTCTTTATGGTTCATTTTTCTTATTTTTAGTATTTTTTTTCGGCTTTTTATACTCTACTATGAAATTTGTGATTCTTTAATCATGTTATTAGAACTTTGGAAGACAATTCCAGTTATTTGGCTCTTCTAGCTAGTAAATGGTTACTAGGGTGTCAGAAGATTCTACAAACAAGATTAGCTTATAAATATAGTACTCTTTTCCATTTTCCTGTTAGTTATCTTTTGAATAACTGTATATACACGACACAAACATTTGTTTATAAGGGAAAATGTGATATTCGATATACAGAGTGAATAAGCTAACTTAGGCATGTTTGATTACTCTTGTCAATCCCTATATATCAAGAAATATACCTGACCATAAATAAAAGGAATAGGCACAGTTGTACAAAGACTTTTAAATATTCAAAAGACCATAAATTTCCTGAAACCCCCCCTCAAGTGGGTGAATAGATATTATACATTTCCAACTTGCTTGTGATAGCTTGAAATAGGAGATTGGCTAGTCCTTTAGTTAATGACTGCATGTTGTCCATTTGTTGAAACATATGGAGTGTATGTCAGATCCACTATCTAACTTCTCTTTTATGAAGTGTCTATAGATTTCAACATGCTTATTTTTTATCATGTTGAACTGAAATGTGAGCTAGATTGATGTAGACTTGTTATCACAAAAAAGATCGATTGGTTCTCACCGTTTGAATTTAAGATCTTAAAGAATGATTTTGAGCCACAATAGTTCACATATAACATGTTCCATGTACCGAGGTTCTAAGTTCTGCTTTGGCATTTGATCTTGCCACAATAATTCACTTCTTGCTTTTCTAATTTGCCAGTTTCTTCAGAGCAAGGTAAAATAGCTTGCCGTTATACCTACAACAATCCTGCACAATCTTATCTGTACAGGCTTCTTAACCTAGCTCTGTGGTCTTTATAAACAATATTCCCTTTTCTGGGGCAAACTTAAAATAGAGCAAGATTCTGCAAACTGTTTGAAGATGTGTCTCTTTCAGATCGTGCATAAATTGATTCACTAGACATTCAACGTGTGCTATATCAAGTGCTATGTGTGATAGATAAATCAGTTTGACAACTACCATCTAGGACCCTTTTGATCCACTGTTGCAGCCTGATCTGTTTCACTCAGTTAATTATCAAGTTCAATAGGTGTATAAAATGGCTTGCATATGAGCATTCCTGTCTTTTTGAGAAAATCAAGCACATTCTTTTCTCCTGATACAAAGATTGCCTCTTTCAAATGTGCTACTTTAATTCCTAAAATTAATTGAGTTTTCCAAGCTCCTTTATCTCTAAATCTTCAGCTGGTCAATTTTGAAGTTAGGTTCTTTCTTCTGGATCATTATCAGTCACAATTCCTAGGGGTTGGCACAATGATATGTTGATTCCATCAAAGACAGACCAAGAATCTTGAAGTGAGACAATTTAGAAAATCTCAATTCATACAGCAAATTTTAAATTCAATAATTAACGACTGAATTTCACCTACAACTAACAAAACAAATTTTTAACTCCAAAGCTTTCTTTCTATGATTTTATCATATGAGTTAATAACTTATATAATGTCATTTATACTTCATTTCAAGAAACTGCAAGACGTCCTGTTTGAGCCCAATGCATTTCGAAACAGTAGATTGATGGAGGATGTGTGGTTAAAAAATAATGAAAACTTTTGGGATTGTGTGTAATATTATTTTAGAGAAGAATAGCAAATAGATCAATTAATTTCAAACGATCAATTGAAAAATTTTATGCACATTACAGCCCACGCATCTATAAATCCAGATAAAGATAGATGCACGTACATAGGTGTTGAGCTGGCGGATGAAGCTGGAGAAGTTATTGTGTTTGAAGTAGCAGGGAAGAAGGACGCGTGCGAATTCCGGTGGGTTCCACACCACGAAGCTCTTCATGCTCCCGCTCCATGATACGATGTCGTCCGTCGCCGTGTCGTCAACCATCTCGTACGTCTTCAAGAGGAATGGCGCCGGTCCACCTCCGGCCGCAGTGGTGGCCACCTGTGCTCCTCCGTCCATTCAGTACTCTATGATCGATTGAGAACGCGTTTGGTACTTTGGTTGGTGGTTCGCGTCTGACTTTGTTGACGGATTTTATTGGGTTAGTTGTATTAGTTAAAATCGCACCAGAGCCCCTCATTTTTAATATTTTATTTATTTGAGTCCTTAATCTTTTCTCATTTAGCTGTTCAGCCTTCAAGTTTTAAAGCTAAGCTCTTGTATCAGAGCCATTTTTGCTCCCAAAATGCAGTTTTATATCACAAGAAGTGGGTCACCATGTATGACACTCTTTATAATAATGTCTGATATTTATGATATTTTCTCTATTTTACCCTTATTTTGTTATTTGTGCATTTCTTTCAATTTCATAGCCTGCCACCCGATTTGAATACTCAAAACATAAATGCGGAACTATAAAATGAAAAGCATTGTGCAGTTAGCAGTCAAATTTGTGTCAGATATAATGGCATGAACGAATTTACAACGGTCTCTTTTCTTCTTAAAATGAGGAAAAAATGGCTCCCAAACAACCGCTTAATTAAAATTGAAAACTCCAATCAAATTCTGTAAAAAAGTCAATTTTACCCTCAAAAATTTTTTTAAATAGACAATTTGGTTTCTATTGAATTACATTACAATATCCAATCGTATTCAATATTGCGTACTAAACATACACTAAACAAATCTTCATTGCTTGTCCCATACTACGATCCGCCATGTATCAGCTAGCGAGTACAAGTTAGATTCTTCTGACAATTATAAACTTCAACATATTCCATTGCTACATCGCGATAAATAAGCATGTACACTCGTGTAATGAAATTTTATGATTACTATGAAACAGCCAAAGCTTGAGATCCCTATATGATGTAGAGAGAAAATCACTTGAGATTAAGCTTCCACACCTCGAGAACTTCAGAGGAACCATCAGCGACCAGAGAAGCGGTGAAAGTGCCTACAAGATAAGTATAAACTGAAAAGGGAATGAGGAAAAACCAAAAGTAACTGAAACAAAAAAGTTCATTTGACAGAACTCAATCAATTGGAAGTATGATATAGTGCATCAACACTGATCAGAAGACAAGTTTCTATCAGCCTCGGAAATGAAACGTTGTACTGAAATGCTGAAATAGTAAAATGATCCACTCTCCTTTATTGTAGTGCAGACTAGATATCTAACAAGATGAAGCTCACCATCTTTTTCAACCATAGAGAGAAGACGCTCCGATCCTCCTCCCACCCCAAAAAAATGTTTCTTTGCTGCCATGTACACAACTCCATGAGGACTACTCACACACTGATCAAAAGGTAAAAGAAAGGGGCTTAGCAACAATTAAATTATTGAAATAAAAACGACATATTCGAAAACTAAATCCTATCAGTTTGTAGAGACTAAGGAGTGCAGAAATTGAGTAAACTGTCTCCGCCATGAGAATCATATCATAACCAGCTATCTCGTCACTAGATACAAAAGGGAGAATAGAAAGTACTTCACCCCAGTCACCTGCAAAGATGCGAGTATCTACCTCAATGCTGCTGCACTCATTCACAAACTCCTGAGACTTCTTTTGAATATTAGCGTTCACATTGGGAATCAGGGACCGAGGGGGGGGGGGGGGGGGGGGGGGGACCCGAACCCCCTAATTTTTTGACGATTTTTTTTTTATTTTTAAATTTTTTTTGTTAATGGAAACAAATTTTAT